ACAGAGACAGAGACAGAGACAGAGACAGGAAGGGAGAGAGGGAGAGAGGGAGAGAGAGATTGAGAGAGATTAACCAGTCAAAGAAAAGGCAGTGCTGGGACAAAGTTGAGTTCTGTGTGACAAGACCTGTTATGAAATACAATCTTCATCAGAACTACAGCTCAGGCGTGAAATACACTGGTCAAAATCCAGCAGGATGTGTGCTCTGATGGACTTTATAATCTTAGGGTGGGAGATTACTACCGCCAGGATTCATTACTAGTCGCCCCCCTACCCTGTCCTTCTTCTGGTGATCAGCACTGTTAGAGCTGATAGTAGACCATCTGCTTAGTAGAGAGTTCAGTACAAAAGCAAAACACACACACATGCACACACACAAGCAGAGTAGACAAGTTCCTTTGATCAGGAGTTTGTGTTACCAGGAGGAATACAGGATGCAAAAGCCCATTTCCCAGGGCCAGCCCTACCACTAGTCAAGGTGTGGTAGCTGCCTTCAAATAAATTTTGGGTATCATAAATAGGCAGCAAAGTCTTGCACATTAAATCTATTTTTATTGTATTTTTACTACCGGAGATGGAGAGAGTTGCTGGTGGGATTTTCTTCCTCACGTGCCAAAACAATTTAGCCTGCTTTGGGTACTAAACATGTTGAATGGTGGGAGGAGTGTCATCATTTGGTGGTCCATCTCAGGCAGGAAAATGTCTCACAATATGAGATTAAAGAGGAACCCAACCCAAACAGTGCACTATATGAAGAGAGATTGAAAAGATAAAGGTGTAACTAATTTTAGAAATAGTAGCCATTGTTGTTCTTTAGTCATTTAGTCGTATCTGACTCTTCGTGACCCCATGAACCAGAGCACGCCAGGCCCTCCTATCTTCCACTGCCTCCTGGAGTTGGGTGAAATTCATGTTGGATGCTTCAATGACACTGTCATCGCATATGTAATATGTAATAGCATATATGCTATTAAATCTTTTGCATATCGTAGGACTCCACTCCGTGCCTTGATACTGCAACAAAGACGGCCTCCCTGATCTCAAGGTCCTCCAGGATCTCTTTCTCCTGGTAAAAGGTAAAATCTGCATGAGGTAAAATTATTTGTGTCAACTAAAATGCAGCCCATCTGTACGAGTTAACAGAGGGCGCAATGATGTGTTGGCAGAAATGAATTCATTTTAAAACCAAATCCTGCCGCCTTCTCTTTTTGCTTTTTCCTTGCTATTGCTCAGCAGCCTGTGACCTCAGTAGATTCACTGGCAAGCTCAGTCTTTTAACATATCTATTACTTAATACCGTCTGATTAGGTCCATCAGTATAGATCTCAGCAGCTAATTGTCACTAATTAAGAAGTTAGTGGTTGCACCTTCTTGTGCACATCCCATTGTGTGATGTGGTGTGTGACAAGAAATTCTTAACTTCTGACTTCTTAATTAGTGGCATTTGCTGCAGAAATTTATGGTGATGGACGTGCACTGGCACAATTATTCAGTTGGATTCTGGCCACTGTTTGTGACATAGCTGATTATTTTTTACTGTGTCAAGCTGCTACAAATTTGCAAGAAGCCCTTCAGCAGAAATCTTAACATGCTGTCAACACTCATTATTTCCTCTTAGACCTTGTAATATTTATCAACCAGTTTTTAATAATGTCTTCCCTCTTCTGCCCTTCCCAAACAGTTGGTGGAAGGAAGAAATGACAGTAAAGATTTAGAGGGCTGGACCAAGGCATCTGACACACATCTTCAAAGTATATGGGGAAAAAAGGAGACATTTCAATTGTGGGGGAGGTCTTCAAACTTACAAGAGAAAGAGAGAGAGAGAGAGTTTTAGGAGCTGATCATCCCTTGCTAGAGTCAACATATTTTGACACACAACAAAAATACAGGAGAGGTCATACTATTTTATCCTAAATGCCTTCTATACACACATTGTCACATCCTCAAGGGATATATAACCAATCCTAATGCTCTCACAGCTGCAGGTTGATAGCAGGAAATAGTTGACTTAGTCCAGAAAGAAGAATATATTGCCTAAAACAGATTTTGGTCACGTTAGCCTCTTATTGACCATTTTAACTTTTTTGACCCCATACTGTCTCCTCCCCCCACAGGTGAACAGTCTGAAACAACGTGGAAGCATCTGATGTACATGATTTGGAAGAAAAAATGTGGGATAAAGTTCATGTTTGCTTTGCTTTTCCTTCCTTTTGCCAAGTTCTAGTGGTAACTAAAACAAACAAAATACTTCAGAACTTGTTCATTCAAGGACCTTTGTTATCTTTAAGAATTAACATTTACTGAAAAGCCTCAAAGTGCACAGCACTTTAAGGCTTTGCATCCACCTTGCCTTCACAACAACCTTGTAAGGAAAATCTTCATTGTTCCCATTTTACAAACAATAATTTAAATAGGAGATGAAATTACTCCCTTTGCCTTATACTGTTAGGAAGCAGCACCAAAGCACTTAGCAAGTGACCTGAACAGGAAGGCGTAGGGACAGACAAAACCCTGGCTGCCTTCTCGCCTTTTCTGGAGCTATGTTTAGACTTATCTAAAATGTGTCTAAGGCTCACTTTCTTCTTCTTCCCCAGAGATCTCTTTATTTTTCTTTCTCCTTCTTGGTAGGAGGGGCAGACGTACACAGCTTCCCCACAGTGGAAAAATAGACCAAAGGCACAGAAGTTCGCTATGAGGGTTACTGTAACCAAGTTTAAAGCTCAATTTCCTGCCTTCTTTCCGAATGGGCTTCCTGAATAAGTTTTCAATTTTTTTTAATGAGTTTCCAGAGTAGTTCATATCCTCCAGCTCATACCCTATCTCACTGCACCCCAGCTGACTCCACCATAAGCCACAATGAGGCAAGTGCCTCAGGCTTATGAAAGGGCAGCGCATGGCTTCGCACTATTTGTATTTTTGCTACCAGTGAATGAGCAACCTGCTTGTGGAGTTTTCTTCTGCAGGTATCAAAATTACCAAAATCACTGGGATGTTATGCATTTTGTCTTGGCTGTTGGGGTTGGTGGCATTTGCTTTTCTTTCTCAGACAGCAAAATGTCTTGGGCTGGCCCTGCCCTGAATTTTGCTGGTATAAATACCAATAGCCTCACCTAGACAGTATTCAGATCCCCTACTCTACGTAGCACTCCAACTGTGTACCTTGCATGCAGGTGAAACTATTTTGCCTCAGAGCAAGCCACATTTCCATTCCCTTAGCAACATAAAACACAAAAATGCTAGTTCAATGTAGTTCACACAACCTTTTGCTGTGGCAAAATGCCCAGTTAAATGACTACCTGATTGCTTCACTAAACAACCCAATTATATTCTATTGTTTTTGACCAAGCACAGTTTAGCTGCAGGGTGGTACACAAAAGACCACATCCTGCCATGCTTTGTAAAGGTCCTGTGCATAAGACCACAAACTATCCTAGATTAATTTTTTTAAAACATATCTACAAATTCATGGTATCACACACTGTGGAGTAGATACAACCCAAACCATAAAAATCATTAAAATCCACAGATATTTTAATGTCATTTCTACAAACGGAGTACTCACACCATCATAATTAGTTAACTTTGAAGCTTCTGAAGAATTAAGCATTTTTTACAACTGTCTTGTGTGGTAGCGCTGTGGGCTAAACCACAGAAGCCTGTGCTGCAGGGTCAGAAGACCAGCAGTTATAAGATCGAATCCACGTGACGGAGTGAGCTCCCATCGCTTGTCCCAGCTCCCGCCAACCTAGCGGTTCGAAAGCATGCAAATGCGAGTAGATAAATAGGGACCACTTCGGTGGGAAGGTAACAGCGTTCCGTGTCTAAGTCGCACTGGCCACGTGACCATGGAAGATTGTCTTCGGACAAAACGCTGGCTCTATGGCTTGGAAACAGGGATGAGCACCGCCCCCTAGAGTCGAACACGACTGGACAAAAATTGTCAAGGGGAACCTTTAACTTTACGTGTGTTATTTACTGCTTCAATTAAATGCCTCTAAACATAATATAATAAGAGATTTGAACAATCTCTTTGTTGTTGTTTTTGTTTTTAGTAGGGTAAATTGTTACTGTCCATTTTCCAGTCAAGAGCAAATATACTGTCATGGTTAGAATAGGAGTGAGTAAGCCAAAGTGGGCTTGAGGGCTGAATTCTTGCCCCCAGGCCTACCGCACACTTCACTGACTCCAGAGACAGATGTAATTGGCCTCTTCTAAAAAGTGTATCATTTCTATTTTTGGTTTGAGGGAGGGGGAGGAGGTCTCCAGGCACTTGCCACCAAGGCACCTGCAACGAAAACTGTCCTTCTGAAGAGCAGACATGGTCCAGTTTTGACCCAGAAATGGGGGTTGTGAAGGGCCTAGGGAACAGTAAAATCCCACCCAGAGAACCACATGTGAGTTGGGTTTAGATGATTGGACTGGGCCCCAGTCCCCACTGGGCCAATAATTTTCTCTCTTAACCTGACTTCCTAAACTTTACAGGGTTGAGGTGAGGATAAAGAGTTGAGAAGGTAAACTACATACTGTATGCCACTTTGAACTAATTTATGTATATCTCTAATTTCTCTCATAATTGGGACCCCAGGCAGCAACTGGGCCCCAAGATGAGATGACAAGACAAAATATCTCCTTATTACATATTTGGGGGGGGGGGGGTCACACAGATCGATTCAGATGATGGGCTTTCTAACTTGCATGTGTTTCTGAGATGCACCAACTCCCACAACTCTGTGGGGTCCTGAGGATCTTTTGGAAATGGAAAAATCTCTTATATTATGTAGAGCAGGGTGGGGTGGGTTTGGGAATAGCAAGGGTGAATTTTTCCCAATAAGGGCCTTCTGGCAATCTGAATGTAGACAAGACATGCATATTCCTTTGTGTGACTCAAAAGCAATATCCAGGAATGCTTTGAAGTGGTTCTAACCAAAGGAGGCAGGGTTTAAGAATGAGAGAGTTGAGAACACATCATAGGACTCCTGAAGAAACAAATAGGTCTGAAAAGACATGGCTTCCTCTGCTTGCTATCATTCTTTAAAATACTAGGTACAATATAATTAGGAAGGTAAACAGAAGCAAGCCCTCTTATTTCTTACTTTGTTTTATACTGCAGACATTTTTGGGCACAAAGGCCACCAACAGTATAAAAGCCAAACTGAACTATAAAGTAGTTTATAATAATTTGGTCTGCACAATCAATAAACTACAAGGCTATAGTTTACAGCCCAAACTGTGCTCAATCCCAGATAGCCGGCTCAAGGTTGACTCAGCCTTCTATCCTTCCGAGGTCAATAAAATGAGTACCCAGCTTGCTCGGGGGAGGGGGGGCAATGTGTAGCCTGCATAACTAACTTGTAAACCACCCAGAAAGTGCTTGAAGTGCTATGGGGCAGTATATAAGCAGCACGCTTTGCTTTGCTTTGCTTTGCTTTGCTTTGCTTTGCTTTGCTTTGCTTTGCTTTGCTTTGCTTTGCTTTGCTTTACAGACCATATCCCATGCTTTATCAAGGACTTGTCAACTTCTTTATACTGCTTTAGAGTGACTCAAATTACATGAGATACTCAAGTTTCAAAGCTGTTCCCTTCTCTCACTATTTCACCTCCTTAGGGGTAAAAGTCTGAGTAAAAAAGCTTGCAAATTAAGCCCCTGTTTGCCTTCCAGTGACCAGTCACAAAATAAAGCTCCATGGAACACAAGATACTGTACTGGCGTAAGAGAAAGCATTTGCTATTACAAACAGATGTCTTTCAACACTTAAGGATGCCCTGATCCTAGTGAAATGCTAACATTACACCCTAGTTCTGCTTCACTGTCAGGAATTGCTGGATATGTGTATAGGTTCCCCTCAAGGGACATGGTGGTGCTGCGGGCTAAACCGCAGAAGCCTGTGCTGCAGGGTCAGAAGCCCAAGCAGTCGTAAGATCGAATCCACAGGACGGAGTGAGCTTCCGTTGCTTTGTTCCAGCTCCCGCCAACCTAGCGGTTCGAAAGCATGCAAATGCAAGTAGATAAATAGGGACCACCTCGGTGGGAAGGTAACAGCGTTCCGTGTCTAAGTCGCACTGGCCATGTGACCACGGAAGATCGTCTTCAGACAAAACGCTGGCTCTATGGCTTGGAAACGGGGATGAGCACTGCCCCCTAGAGTCAAACACGACTGGACAAAAATTGTCAAGGGGAACCTTTACCTTTACCTTTACATGGCAAGCCAGTGAACTGCAGGTGCTGGAAAGATTCTTCCCATCCAGCCTGTCCATTAGACAGAAAAGAATGTAACTTTTGTTTTGGTTTGGTTTGGTTTTTGCTTGAATACCATAGTCTTCATGAGCTCTAAAGCGTTCCTGCATTCTTGCTTGCCCCTCAGTCCTGCCTCCTGGTTTGCTCTGAGATTCTGGCTTGCTCTTTGGTCCTGTGGATTAACGGGTCCATGTTTCTCAGTTTCTAGTTCACCTCAGGCAGCTCTTCAAGGCCCAGCAATCAGCTAAAGCAGAAGAGCTGAGTCTCTGGTACGCTGTATTTTGTTTGCTAGGTAGAATGTGCACTACACATTATGCTTTGCAAATGATAGGTAAGCCCAAGACTTACTTTGAAAATCTTCCAAATTAACAACATAAATGCTAAGGCCCCTGGGTGCCCTGATCAAAGCAAAGCCACCTAGAGTGGTCACAACTGACCAGATAGGCGGGGTATAAATGAAATGAAATAAAATAAAATAAAATAAAATAAAAAAGTATGTACAACCAGTGGGCACAATATAAAAGTGCTGTCTGTACCAAACATTCATGTCTGACCAAACTCATTCAGTTAGAGAAGTTAATCACAAGACAAAAACCAAGAAATAAATCAGATACTGCTACTTTTCCTTTCTTTCGACACACACATTATATAATCCTAATTATTCTCTGCACAATTGTGCATCTTTGTAAATTGGCCCACAATGCTCTTCCTGGAGGGAAAGAGCAGAGAGAGAGAGAAAAGGAAGAGACACTTATTAAGCAGCAAGCATGAATAGACATGCATGCCTGTTTTCCCCTGAGGGTTTGAAAAAGGGACAGAGGTCCCAGGAGGAGGAGGAGGAGGAGCGCATCTGCCCAGGATAACCCCAAGGACGACGTGAGCAGAAGCACAGCAGGGCCGCGTGTTGCATAAGAGAGAATGTGCTGAAATGTGACAGTCTTGCTGCTGCTCTGGATGGCGGCGGCTGCTGCTGCCAATGCCAGGCTCCCACCCACAATTCTGCCTAGTGTTTGGTGCGTAACTCAACTCTCTTGCTGGACCACGAGGCCCAGATTAGACCAGAGAGCTGGGCTCGGTTTTCCTCAGCCACTGCTGCACTCCACCCTCACTTGGTGGTTTTTCTCTTGAACATGTGGTTTTGCTTCCAATAGGAATGGCCAACAGCCCAAGCCAGCAACGCCCAGGAGAGCTGCAGAGCTTCCCCGCTAGCGCTCCTCCTCTGCCAGCTAACAAAACTCAGAAGCACAAATGGACTTTTTGCTGCTCAAAAGGAGGCAGAGAATTCTTCTCCCAGCCCTTAGATGCATCAAAAAAAGAAAGCCATCAGAGACAAACAGGAGCGTTGAAGGACCATATTCTGGTCTGCACAAAGAAGCACACAAAGCAGCTTTCCTCTCAAAAGCCTTGATGATAAAGCTAGCCCATTGAATAAAATACCTAGTCATTTTCGGCCCACTGATGGAAAGTGCAGGTTACTTACACAAACACAGAGGCAAATGGAATCCACCATAGAGAACATTCCTATCACTACCTTCTTCTTTCCAAGCACTAGCCATGCTTTATTATAAATGAAAACAGATTATTCAGACAGTTAGCAGGAGGGGCCCATGCCCAGGAACACTCAACCCTAATTCCACTCTGAAGTCTTGTAAATTTGATTTATATTAATATTACCATGTGCTGGAGGTGAAAGCAAGGAAGTGGAACTATGCTTGCCCAATCCCACATGGTGCAGTCACGGGAAAGAAAAATAATAATCTGAATTAGAAACATTCTGGTTTAAAATTAAGTCCCTAAAATGCAACACCACACTTAAATCCACCTTCTCCTCTACTGGAGAAACATTTCCACAATCTCAGCAAATCAGCCTCATAGTTCCCTAACAGATACCAATTTATGAAAATATTACAAAATAAAACGCTGTGTTGCTTCAACTGGCTAGTTTCAGGAATGGATGAGGACAGAAAATATGGGTTCAGAAGCCAGGAAATAGGTACAACCCAGCATGAATAAATGGCCTGGTTCTTATATAGATTGAACATGAGCAGGTGATCTGATGTGGGATTCTCTTTACACTTCAGCAAATGTTTCAAAACGTTGGCATTTTTTAATCCTTAACAAGCAGATGGAGGAAGCTTAAGAGACATATTGCTGCCTGAAACACAGCAGCAAATTGTATCCTCCATCCACCCAAACTGAGTACTCAGAACTACTTCAACACAAGAGGGAGGAAAGCCCACAAGTGTCTCTCTCTCTGAACCTTTCAGTAAAAATATAGTAACAACAAATTAAATAGTTTAACGTTAAATAGGATAATATT